TTTACATTTAAGGTAATTATTGATAGGTATGGTCCCGTTGCCATTTATTTTGTTGTTTGGGGTTCACATTTATACCACCTTTCTGTGTTTCCTGTCTAGAGAAGATCCTTTAGTATTTGTTGAAGAGCTGGTTTGGTGGTGCTGAATTCTCTCAGCTTTTGCTTGTCTGTAAAGCTTTTGAGTTCTCCTTCATATCTGAATGAGATCCTTGCTGGGTAGAGTAATCTAGGTTGTAGGTTATTCTCTTTCATTACTTTAAGTATGTCCTGCCATTCGCTTCTGGCCTGAAGGGTTTCTATTGATAGATCAGCTGTTATCCTTATGGGAATCCCTTTGTGTGTTATTTGTTGTTTCTCCCTTGCTGCTTTTAATATTTGTTCTTTGTGTTTGATCTTTTTAATTTGATTAATATGTGTCTTGGGGTGTTTCGCCTTGGGTTTATCCTGTTTGGGACTCTCTGGGTTTCTTGGACTTGGGTGGCTATTTCCTTCCCCATTTTAGGGAAGTTTTCAGCTATTATCTCTTCGAGTAACTTCTCTTGACCTTTCTTTTTGTCTTCTCCTTCTGGGACTCCTATGATTCTCATGTTGGGGCGTTTCACATTGTCCCAGAGGTCCCTGAGGTTGTCCTCATTTCTTTTGATTCTTTTTTCTTTTCTCCTCTCTGCTTCATTTATTTCCACCATTTTATCTTCTAACTCACTTATCCTATCTTCTGTCTCTGTTATTCTACTCATGGTTCCCTCCAGAGTGTTTTTGATCTCATTTATTTCATTATTAATTTTTAATTGACTTTTTAAAATTTCTTCTAGGTCCTTGTTAAACATTTCTTGCATCTTCTCAATCTTTGTCTCCAGGCTATTTATTTGTACCTCCATTTTGTTTTCAAGATTTTGGATCATTTTTATTATCATTATTCTAAATTCTTTTTCAGGTAGATTCCATATTTCCTCCTCTTTTGTTTGACTTGGTGGGCTTTTTTCATGTTCCTTTAGCTGTTGGGTATTTCTCTGCCTTTTCATCTTGTTTAGATTGCTGTGTCTGGAGTGGGCTTTCTGTATTCTTGTGGTCTGAGGTTCCTTTTTATTGTGGAGGTTTCACCCAGTGGGTGGGGTTGGACGATTGGTTTGTCAAGGTTTCCTGGTTAGGGAAGCTTGTGTCAGCATTCTGGTGCGTGGAATTGGATTTCTTCTCTCTGGAGTGCAATGTAGTGTCCAGTAATGAGTTTTGCGATGGGTCTATGTGTTAGGTGTGACTTTGGACAGCCTGTATGTTGACACTCAGGTCTATGTTCCTGCATTGCTAAAGAATTTGCGTGGTATGTCTTGTACTAGAGCTTATTGGCTCTTGGGTGGTGGTTGGTTTTGGTGTAGGTATGGAGGCTTTTGGATGGTCTCTTATTCCTTAATGTTCCGTGTAGTCAGGAGTTTTCTGGTTTTCTCAGGATTTGGGCTTAAGTCTCCTGCCTCTGGATTTCAGTTTTATTCTTCCAATAGTCTCAAGACTTCTCCAACTATACAGCACTGATAATAAAACTTATAGGTTAATGGTGAAAAGATTCTCCACTGTGAGAGACAACCAGAGAGGTTCACAGAGTTACATGAAGAATAGGAGAGGGAGGAAGGAGATAGATGTGAGCAGGAGGAGCATGTATCTTTTTGAATTATATTTTTGTCTGGGGATACTGGGGATATTCCCAGGAGTGGGATTGCTAGATAATATGGCAAATCTATTTTTAGTTTTTTTGAGTAATCTACATATTGTTCTCTCTGGAATCTCCATACTGTTCTTCAATTCCATACTGTGACTGCACTAATTTGTAATCACAAAAACAATATAAGGAGGTACCTTTTTTTCCATACCCTCTTCAGCATTTATTATTTGTAGACTTCTAAATGATGCCCATTCTGACCAGTGTGAGGTGATACCTCATTATAGTTTTGAAGAGGATTTCCTTAATCATTGACTCAAGAAACCCAATACTTGTCGGTTTTTTGTTCTGCTTGCCTTGAATTTTAACTATTTTGACATCATCTCTTTTAATCTTCACAACCATGCTGAGCTGGCAGTATTATCCTTTAGATGGAGAACCTGGGGTAGGAGAGCCTCAATGACTTCTTCAAGTCACAGGTTAGAAAGTGTTAGTAATCTTTTACCATATTAAGTGAATTAATTGTGTCTTAACTTCTACTCTGGGCTTCTGTAAAGATAAAATCAAATGATTAACAAAAGAGTCCCCCAGATGTTTTGCTTTCATCCCATAAATCATGTGGTGTTGCTACTTTCTGTGGACTAAGGGGCCACATCTCTGAGCAGCATGGTAATCACATCCAACACTTAGCTCAGCCCGTTTCCAATCTGCAGTTTGTAGCCATCACTTAGTTCCTATGAGTCACTGTCTTGCCTCACAAATGAGGCAACTGGTGCAGAGTGAGCTTAAGTGATCTTTCCAGGGATCAGCAGTGGTCCCAGGAGAGAAAGGTGAGACTGGGCTTCTCCCTCCCAGGTTCAGTCCATCCACAAAGCCGCTGCTAACAAGTGTTCAGTCACCTCAACTCCCCTTCATAACCTACTCTTGGAAAAGATGCCTTCTCTCACTCCTGCTGTCAGCCAGAGTGTGGTCTACACCAGGACAACCAATGGGAGAGAGGAAGGTCAAATCAAGGATTTTATACACAGGAAGCTTGTTTTCATTATTTAGTTTCATGTATTTTAGACCATGAAATGAAGATCATTTTGTTTAAAAGTTGCTGCTAATAACATTTTTAAAAGTAAAAAATTATGTTGAGAAGGGCTATAGGGAAAGGAGCCAGTTAAGTTTGGGAGGACTGTCAAGAAGTAGAAAATGAATTTCATTTCCATGTGTTCTTTTGGCTGTTTTTAGTTTCACCAAGAGTCTACATAAATATATAACCATACAAGCATGGCTAGCTTAAAAAAATGGAGGAGGGAGATGATATGCAATTAGCCCCCAAAAGTCTGACTTTTAAATCTTTGCATTTTGAATCAAAATAGTCTCAGATTTCACCCAGTGGAGTCCAAGTACTTTTGGGGAATTTTGTTTTTCTCCTTAAGTGGTCCTTTAATATATAGCATTTCATATGCAGTGCTGTTTTGGGGGTAGCAAGTATGGAAGCAACAAGAGGAAAAAAAAGTACACTTAATATGAAGGTAGGGGTCTCAGAACTTTTGTTTGCATGTGTGAAGTCCATTGTCTCTCATAACTTTGTTGACAGCATCCACAAATGGACTTGGAGTCATCTTTTATAAAGTAGATCTGGAATCATATGACAAGAGTGAGTCTTGCATAAATGGTACATTTTCTGCTTTAAAGACAAAAGTTTTCACATTCTCTTTTGGGGAATAAATTACTTTTGAAGTCTTTTCTTCACCCAGACACTTTTAGAGATAAGAACTCACAAATCTTGATGTTATTTTATTTTGTTTTGTGCATCTGTCAAGAAACTGAGATACAATACAGCTACTAAAAAGTGATTGTGGAACAGTGAAACTTGACAGCATTTCATTTCCTTTGTGTTCTGATTATACATGCATCAGAAAGCCTGTATCTCTTCCATTTCAGCTAGAAATTAGAATTCAAAAAATCAAGCTGGCAAAGAACTGTCCTATTTTGCGTATCATCTTACACTTTATAGAAGTTGCTTGGTTGAGTCATTGTTAAAAAGCTTAAGATTCTCCTTTCATTCTTGGGACCAACTATTCACAGATCACATTTCTATAGGCCCTCTAATGGCTTTGCCGCACAATTGAATGCCAGGATATTTCATATATATGTGTGTGTGTGTGTGTGTGTGTGTGTGTGTGTATATATTCAGAGAAGGCAATGGCACCCCACTCCAGTACCCCTGCTGCAAAATCCCATGGATGGAGGAGCCTGGTAGGCTGCGCTCCATGGGGTTGCTAAGAGTCGGACATGACTGAGCGACTTCACTTTCACACATTGGAGAAGGAAATGGCAACCCACTCCAGTGTTCTTGCCTGGAGAATCCCAGGGATGGGGGAGCCTGGTGGGCTGCCATCTATGGGGTCACACAGAGTCGGACACGACTGAAGTGACTTAGCAGCAGCATGCCAAAATTTCAATGCTTGTCAATCAAAGTTTATAAAATACAGGGATTACAACTGAATATTCAGTTCAGTTCAGTTCAGTCACTCAGTTGTGTCCGACTCTCTGCGACCCCATGAACCGCAGCACGCCAGGCCTCCCTGTCCATCACCAACTCCCAGAGTCCACCCAAACTCATGTCCATCGAGTCGGTGATGCCGTCCAACCATCTCATCCTCTGTTGTCCCCTTCTCCTCCTGCCCTCAATCTTTCCCAGCATCAGGGTCTTCAAATGAGTCAGGTCTTCACATCAGGTGGCCAAAGTATTGAAGTTTCAGCTTCAACATCAGTCCTTCCAATGAACATTCAGGACTGATCTCCTTTAGGATGGATTGGTTTGATCTCCTTGCAATCCAAGGGACTCTCAAGAGTCTTCTTCAATACCACAGTTCAAAAGCATCAATTCTTAGGTGCTCAGCTTTCTTTATAACTGAATATTAACATATAGATTTATTGTGCTAATTTTATGTGTGAAATTGAGAAACCCTTGTGCAGACGCTGGGTTTCCTTAGCTTCTTTGTTACCCTATTTTAATTTATCTCCAGGTTTTGAGTCAGTAACATGATTTTGCTTTTTAATTTACTACAGGAGCAAAGCATATCTGTGAATTAGAATGATCAGAACTCTAGTGAATCTACAGGTTGTTTGGCATTAAGCCCAGCCCCACTGAGGATTCCAGTGGGATTACTTCCTCCATAGAATAAGCACATCCCTGCATTTTTAAATTGTGCCTCCAGTAGTTATGTGATTGTTTAATATGAAGATGTGGACATCTTCCACATGTATTCCAAATGCGTTGCCTTAGAAAGGAGGACTTTAAAATGCTTTAAACAGTTTTAAAAAAATTTTTTTAATTTGTCCTTTTTCCCCTTCAGGCGCACACCGAAAAGAAATAACCAGATGTTACTCACAGTGGTCATATGGTTATGAACGCTTCCAATGGACAGCCCTCAGCCTTAATGATTGTTGAGTCAGCACTGTGATTCTACCATAATGTCAAGTCCAATCCAAAGGTGTTTTTCCAATAGTTTTTGCACTGCAAAAAGTATATTATACTTTTTTTTTACACCAGTCCCAAATATTTACATATAGATGTTAATTTGGATTTATTTTCTCCAGTTTTACCCAATGATTTCAACCTCTAACAAAATGATTTACTATTTTTATTTATATTTTATACTAATTTTTCCTATCCAAATCAGAGGTGAAGGCCACAAGTAAAAGCTGTCTACCAGGTTTAGTGTCTTGAGAGACTCCAGAACCAAAAGTAATTTTATAAGATATAAAAAATGTTGTCACAGATGTCTTTTACTGTTCCTAAAATTATATATTACTTTCCAATTTTATCAGGAGTTTTGTTTACTTGAAGACCATGTGAAGTCACCATTTGTTTTACCACTTTCTTTAACAGTGCTGGGATCCATTATTACACACAAATATCTCTGATTAAAATAGTACAGAGAAAAAACAAAAAAATATACTTTAGTTTATGTGAGATAGGAAAGAGAGGTATCCTCTGCCCAAATTTAAGATATATGGTTTAAAATACATAAAGATAATATTTAATTATATGTTCTAAAACACAAGGAAGAGAAAATATGCTTCCTCAAAATAGGAGCCCTTCTAGGTGATCACTGTCTTCTAGATGGAGAATTGTATTGTATTCTATATTTTACACTTTTTAAATTTATAACATAAAATTTTCTATGATAACCTTTTTAACATACAATTCAGTGGCATTAGCCACATTTACAATGTCATGAAACCATCACCATCCAGTTCATTTTTAGTGATTAATTTAGACCATTCAGCTTATTATTTATACAGTCAGTTTTGGTAATTTCATTTCTCTATGAATTAATCTATTTCATGTGAGTTTTCAGCTTGATTGGCTTAAATTATTCATAAAATCTTGTATGTTTAATATCTACAGGAGCTATAATTGGGTTCTATTTTGGTTTTTAATTTTCTTTGAGCCTTGTTTTTTTCTTGAATAATCTTGTTTGATTTTTTCCTATTAATTTTCAAAGAATCAAATTCTGTGCTTGATTGATCCTTTCTGATTTTTTGTTTTCTAGCTCATCATATTCTTCCATTCCTTCAGCTTTTCTTCATTTGAGTTTTTTCTCTAAATTCTTAAATTGGAAATAGATTAATTTTTAAGCTTTTTTTCCCCTAATGCAAGTACATAAAACTTACTTTTTTATTCCACCTAACGGCCCACTTTAGCTGCAGCCTACAAGTTTTGGTACTGAGCACTGATCAGTAATCAGAGTGTTATGTATTTTCCAATTTTTAATTTGATTTGTTAATTATATATTTCACTCATGAGTTATTCATCAGTGTAATGTTCTCTAAACTCCAAATGGTCACAGCTATTTTTCTATTATATTAGCCATGTAAAATTGCTAACAGTCAACCTTTTTTTAGCCCATAAAAATAACAGTTTCTTACGGTTCAATGTAATAGTTTTCTTTTGATATTAATATATAACAATTTCATTTTGGTCAGAGAATATTAGAGTGAGGATTTTAAAGCAAAGGTTTAAAATATTGACAGACAAAGTCTTTCTTTCCACCATTTTTATTTTCTGCCTATTATCTATTTCTATTTATTTCTATTTTATTTTCTATTTCTATTTTAAAATGTTATGTGTATCACCAGAGATTTTCAAATAAAAATCCTTCCCAAATTCTGGAATGTTTTCAATGTATGTTACTGGTTGGTTCTTTGGGATATGAACTCGGAGTTTAGTGTTGGGATGTTTGTTAGGGGTGCCGTTGGGATTGGCACTCGTGGAATTAAGAGTGAAGAAACTGGAGCGAGCGGAGGGAAAAAACCAAGCTGGACCATGGACCAGATGACCTTAGCTGACCCTACGAGGGCTCTGGAGTGAAGATGGCCCTTCAGGGTTGTCCTGACAGGTCCACTGGCCAGGCCTTTATTCCTCCACCTGGATGGGTCAATGCACACAGGCTGCCCCCCAGAAGCTCTGAAGGCTGAAGATTGCCCACTGGAAGCACTTCCAGCAACTAGGGGAAGAGTCCTTGAAGGGAGGTCAGGACAGCACATCTCCAGGTCCTCACAGCGTGTGTCACGGCTCCAGAGATAGGTGATGAGTATGCACTCTGGGGGAAATTCTTGGTGACTGATGTGTAAGTCAGAATGATGACTTGGTGATTCTCCTCAGTGCCCTGTGGTGTGAAAAAGAGCAGGAGCCCCATGTAGGGGAGATAGTCTCATTCTCTAGGATCACACCAGTTGTTATTTCTTCTAGAAAGATCAGTCCTCATCCTAGGTAACTCATATTTCTCTAATATCCTCTCATAGGTGCCCTCTTCCTTGGTAAATCATGAGCTTCTCAAGACTTGGAACTGGATCCTACTCACTTTTTAGTTACATCCTCCAGCACAGTGTCTGTCGCATAAGAGCTGCTCAGTAAATGTTTTCTCAATGAATGATGACAAAGAACAAACCTTCCTTCTAAACATTATAATCTGAAATGTTAAGAGGTAGCCTGGGATAACACAAAGCCCCGCTTTTGGAGTCAGTCATACTAACCTGCATACCAGTTCTTTCTCTGCCACACGCTAGAAATGTGAGTGCCCAAAGAATGTACTGTCCAGAGTGGGACACTTGAGAGTGAAAGGAAAGATGCCAGAACAATACACTGGTATCATCCTTGACAAAATGGGCTATGGTCACCTTAGTTACTTGCCTTGTGTCTCAACCTCTGAATCTTAGCTTCTTCATCTGGAAAATGAATATAATTCCTGCCCTTGAACCATTGCTTTGGATGATGGATGGTGGTTGGGTTGATGGATTGACTAAGAGCACCCAAAGACACAGGGTGGAATCATTGACCTTGGTGATTCTTAAACACCAGGAGAGGAGAGCAGGAAAGGTGTGGATAAAGGTAGGTTGGCCATCTTACCTGAAGAGCTAATGCATTAGAAAAGACCCTGATGCTGGGAAAGGCTGAAGGCAGGAGGAGAAGGGGATGACAGATGAGGAGATGGTTGTATGGCCTTACCAACTCAAGACATGAGTTTGAGTAAACTCCAGGAGATGGTGAAGAACAGGGAAGCCTGTAGTTCTTCAGTCCATGGGGTTGCAAAGAATTGGACACAACTGAGCAACTGAACAATAGCAACAGCAAAGGTAGGTTGGAGACTGTAGAAGGTGTATTTAGAAGGTCCTCATCCAATGGCCTAAACTGTTCTTCCTTCACATGTAGTTAAAATGACATAAGCACAGAGGGAGGAGCACAAGCTCTGGAAGAAACAAGATTAAGACTTTGATACACTTAGAATGTTTTACAGAAAGCTTACATTGGACAATTCTAACTAAAATCATTCTTTCCCTCAGCAACCATGCTCATAAACCAACTCACAATTATCCACCCCAATAGGTAGAATTTCAGGTATTCCAAAACACTGCTTGATCCAAAAGCTAATCATATTTGATTTTGGAGGACACTACATGAAAAACATTTTTAAAATTAAATTTTGAAGGCTAGGTTAAAAAAAAAAGACTTTGTGAAACAGATTTTATATCTTAGCTTCCACCTATTGAGGTAGATAATTATGAGCATGATTGCTTATCTCAGTTAAATCAGAATCTTGGCGAAGGGGAGGCAGGAGTCAACACTTTTTAAGACCCACAGGTGATTCCACCCTGCAGCCAAGTGAGACCCACTCTTGAAGGCAAAAGAGCTCATTTCTTCATAAGTTGCAGCTTCTTTCATTGCTAGAGGCCTCCTCCAAGAAGCCCTCCTAACTACTCACATATTTTTCTCTTCCATCTGTCCATAGGTCTATCTGTAGCTGGGGTCAGCACTTTACATATTTGATCCTGCGAACAGGTCACCTGGGGACACTGTTAACCTGCAGATTCAGACTCAGGAGGTCCATGTGGGCCTAGGGTCTGCATCACTAGGATGCTCCCAGGTGCTCCCCCTGCTGGTGGGGGCCGCACGTGCGGGGTCTATAGGAGAGATCTGTCTGTGCAGGCTTCTTTGCGATTGTTCTGGGGCAGTTCAGGCTCCTTTTCTGCCTTTCCTGCACAAAGGGGAGAGCAGCTGGTACCCAGCTTTTTCTTGTCCTGACTCTCATCCCACTCAGTCCCCACCACACTACCCATGGTGTGGACACAGACCTGTACATGTGGAAAGCTCCCAATGACTGTTGAATGAGTAAATGAACAAATGTGGTAAGAATCTCTATAGTGTTGTTAACATACATAAAGGCCTTAGGAATGTCGGGAGGAGAAACTCAATCAATGTCCAGGGAGCCCTGGGTTCTAAGCACCGTGGTTTGTGCAGTCAGGCCCCACACTGTGGTTGTTGTACCCAAGTCTGAAGATTAAAACATTTTATTGAAAACAAACAAACCAAAAGCCTCAGCAAAACCGAACTCATAGATACAAAGAACAGATTGGTGGTTCCCAGAAGCAGGGGGTGGGTGGTGAGTGAAATTTAAGAGGGTGGTGGAAAGGTACAAACTTCCTGTTAATAAGGTCTGAGGCCAAGAGAAGCCCTTGGACTTCCCCTCACATCCATTCAGGGCTCTCCAGAGTTCTGTCTCAGAAGTGAAATCTTTCTTCAGCTAACTTCCCAGCTGTTTAAAAACTTATCTCTTGATGTTCGAGTGGCTTCACTCAAGACAAAGCAGGAGGGTGAGGGTGGAAAAGGGAAGAGGGTCTTGATGTGTTGATTGGTTTCTTCTCTCAGCTTTTAAACTAGGCTATGGGCATGTAAAAGGCAGTGAAGGCAAACATCACAGCATTTTCACCCAAACCAGGTCCCTTAACAACTGTGACAGAGAGGAAAAGTTATCTTTCTCAGCCGTGACCTCTATGTGGCAGCACCTCCCGCCACTCCAGGCCTTTGGTAAGT